CAACAAAAAAATCGAAAATCTAATATACGTAACCCGCGGAAATTCAAAATTCGCGATACTTTTTGAACAGACCTCGTATACAATATAAATCGACAATTTTTAACACTTGAAGTACAAATTATTATAAAAGTACACAGATAATTTGAACAACTTGCGACCTAATAATAAATAATTAGATAAAAACTAAGTTTTTTTTTCTAGAATTATTTTTATTTCTCAATTTAATCAGAATTACGCATGCACGTTGAAAGCGACCAGTATTCAACAAAGTAATATCGCAGCAAACAACTTGCACTTTCTGCGTCAAATTCCAATTTTCTAATAGTTGGGAAATTGCTGTAGCTTGGTTGTTTCCACAGCTGGATGAAATGGTAACAGGTAGGCCGATAAGTTCCCGGTCTATAAAGAAAACACAACTTTTTGGTAAAAATAAATTTTATTCATCAACATAGTTTCCATCAAGAGCGATACAGTCACTCCAGCGCCTCTCTAACATTTCTATACCTCTTTTAAAAAACTATTTATCTTTAGCCTCAAATAGGCGTTTGTTTCGGCGATCACTTCCTCATTAGAGCCAAATCTCTTACCTACGAGCATCTTTTTTAGGTCCGCGAACAGGTAATAGTCGCTCGGAGCCAAGTCTGGAAAGTAGAGGGGGGTGCGGAATCAATTCGAAACCTAATTCGTGCAATTTCGCCATCGTAACCAAAGACTTGTGACAGGATGCATTGTCCCGGTGAAAGAGCAATTTTTTTCTTTGCATGTGAGGCCGTTTCTTCGATATTTCCTCTTTCAAACGATCCAATTGGCCTATGTAGCGATTGCTGTTGATTGTCTGGGCTTTTTCGAGGTACTCGATAAACAAAATACAGTGCGCATCCCAAAATACATACGCCATAACCTTGCCAGCTGACTGTTGCTCTTTTGGCCGCTTTGGGCGAGGTTCCCCGGCTGCTGTCCACTCAGCTGACTGTCGACTAGACTCTGCTGTGTAGTGGTGGATCCATGTTTCGTCCATGGTTACGTATCGACGCAAAAAGTCTGTTTTATTGCGACGAAAAAGTTCTAAACAGTGTTCAGAATCATCGACTCGTTGTTGTTTTTGGTCAAAAGTCAACACGCGCGGCACCCACTTTGACAACAGCTTTTTCATAGACAAATGTTTATTCACAATAAATCCTACACGTTCTTTGGATATATTCAGAGTCTCAGCTATCTCCAGCAACTTTACTTTACGGTTCCCCAAAACGATTTTGTGAACTTTTTTGATGTTTTCCGAAGTAACCATCTTTTTTGGGCGACCAGAGCGTGGTGCATCACTGGTGTCCGTACGACCACGTTTCAATTCAGCAAGACAATCAATAATGGTTGATTTACCTGGTGCAGAGTCCGGATAACGCTTACCAAGCCAAGCTTTTGTTTGAACGGTGTTTTTTCCCTTCAAACAACAATGTTTTATCAAAACACAAAATTCGTGTTTATTCATTTTTTTGTTTATCAACAAAGTTGTTCAACTGAAACTACTCTAAATTTTTCTGCTACCGTCTAAAGGTTAGTATTTACTAAAACAAGCATCGGTTCAGCGATTGCAACGCCATCTGTGTGTCAGACCGGGAACTTATCTGCCGATGTGTTAGGCATTTCCAATAAATTTTTGATCCCTCCGTAATTTATCACTACAAGCAATCTCTCTAAAACTTTTTTTTCGTGTAATGTAGGCAACATCGATCCCATCCACTGAATTATTATTCCTTCGAGTTCGATTTCTTTAAATATTTCTCATAGTTTTGCCGCTCGCTTCGCTCGAAAACGTTTACAAAAACCGAATAGAAGTTCGATTGGTTATTAAATAATTAAAATCATAATTTAAACTATCAGTAGTTGCCAATATAATACGAGCGGCATCGCGATCACTAATTTTCCAAACATCTAAGATTGCAATGAGTTTTGAAGTAATAATTTGTTGTATCCCTCTTCCTTTCTTTGGGTCACTCAATCTAGGCTGTATCAAAGTGGTCGTTATAGTTAGATTCTTTAGAGTTATTCGATAAATATTTTTCATTTAGAAGGCCAGCCCCCACAGAAGGAATAATATTGCTTTCGTCGTTGGACGAAATTAACTGTAGCTTTCTCTCTTCGGTTATGTAAAATAAAAATAAATTTAATTTTGGTGCTTCCAAAGATATATAGTATCTTAAATCAGCGTTCTACCAACGTTACGCAAACATTGCAGTTTTCATGGACTGGCGTTCTAATATTGAGCCCTCTTGGATATTGGTTGTATTTATATGCTCCTTTGTTCCTTACAGGATAGGCAAGATTCTGAATAAGCACATCAGAGTAATTTTCAAACCCCAGAGAAAGATTTCACAATTACTCCCTAACCTCAAAGATCAAAGACCACGCCTAAAAACACCGGGTGTATATAACATCTCCTGCTCCTGCGGAAAAGTGTATATAGGAGAGATCGAGAAGAAGATTAGTACACGGATCTAGGAACACCAAGTACGGTCCTTTTTCTTAATAAGTTTTAGTAGAACACTGGATGGAAACTGGACACTCCGTACAATACGACAGGATACGATATTAGCCATGTCACAAGGCTATGTCGCTAGAAAACATTGCGGAGGTCTGAAAATTTTGAAACATCCTCGTAAACTTAACCGAGACAAGAGTGTACAGATAAACCTTATTTGGCATACCGCCATTCCGGGTTTTTAATTGACTAGCTGATCAATAAAAAACAGGCTGATTGGCTAGAACCAACATCTTTCCACCTCCCTCCACCCTCCCCTCTTCCCAGTAATAAAGGAGCATACGAGGGGGGACCCAAAAAATCGGATTTTTTGTATAAAAACTTTATTTATTAACTTTTTTAAAAAATTTCTTCAGTCACCTTCAGAGTACTCTCCATTAGATGTGATGCACTTGTCAAGTCTTTTTTCCCAATGTTTGATGCATCTCTGGAACTCTTCAACTTTGATATCGTCCAGTGCCCTTTACGAAGCTGTTTTTACCGCATCCACATCATTAAAACGCTTCCCTTTTAGATTTTTCTTCATTCTCAAAAACAGAATAAAGTCGCACAGGACTAGGTCTGGTGAATACGGAGGGTGGGGAACGACAGGCCATCCTCGAGAGGCCAAATAATGGGTCACTCGTAAGGCCGTGTGTGCGGGGGCGTTGTCGTGATTAAGGAACCAGTCACCTGATCGCCAAATTTGCGAGCGTTTCCTCTGCACATCCTCTCGCAGACGTCTTAAAATTTTCAAATAAAAATGCTGGTTAACAGTCTGGCCAGGGGGAACAAATTCCCGATACACAATTACAAGAACATCAAAAAAAACAATGATGATCGTTTTCACATTCGACCTTATTTGTCTTGCTTTTTTTGGTCCGGGAGAGTTAGGAGTCTTCCACTGGCTTGACGCTTGCTTAGTTTCTCTGTCATATCCGTAACACCAACTCTCATCACTTGTAATGACTTTGGTGAAAAGGGAAGCGTTTTGATGATGTGGAGGCGGTAAAAACAGCTTCGTAAAGGGCACTGGACGATATCAAATTTGAAGAGTTCCAGAGATGTTTCAAACAGTGGGAAAAAGACTTGACAAGTGCATCGCATCTAATGGAGAGTACTTTGAAGGTAATTGAAGGAATTTTTTAAAAAAGTTAATGAATAAAGTTTTTATACAAAAATCCGGTTTTTTTTTGGGTCCCGCCTCTTACATAATTATGCGAACGCCACTCACTACCACATATGCGGGCAGACGTTGGACCAGACAACAACAATGTGATATACCGAGTGCGTAATCATTGGCACCTGACCGGACGACAGAGGCTCCGCGCATTCGCAATGCAATCTTAATTATAAAAATTCGCACGTTGTTCCTGTGTTCTTTCCAAATTTACAGATTACGATGTGCACTTCATCATCGAACGAATCGCCAACGCGTTTGAAATTAGCGTCGACCTGTTATCAATAACCAAAGAAAAATATCTATCATTCACAAAGAACATTGAATGCACGCGCGACAAATAGAGAAATCGAGTAAAGCCGGTCGATTTCTTCAAATTTCTCAATACCAGTCTGGAAAAATTAAGGTCCTATCTCAACGCGGACAGACTATTTCGTGAAGGTCTCTTCTAACCCCATGTAGCGGGAGAACTCTCTACTACGCCTACGAATGGCAACGCGATCTCAGGTTGGTTTTTTTGGGTTCCTTTTCGTATAAAGATAACCAATATCCAAAAGGGCTCATTATCAGAACGCCAAGCCCTGCAAACCGCAATGTTTACAAAACGTTGACAGAACGCTGATTTAAGGCATTGCATTCCTCCTAAAACAACGCAAATGGATTTTACCAATGGTTATGAAATCCTCAAAACTAGTATTAAAAATAAATTATCTTTATCCAAAAGAAAATATAATTAGAAGAAAATATTAAAAATTTGAAAATCTTGAATTACTCTAACTCATACTTTTTGCTTCAACTATTAATTGATGAGCCCATTCTCGTCGCAATTCTTCTTGTTTTTGTCGAATTGCATTTTACATTTTTTGTTCGAGAAAACTGCGATTGCTTCCAATCACTGAACCCGGCCGCCTCTTTTTCTTACGGTACATTAAAAATGCCTTATTTTTTCTATTGAAATTATTTCCAAAGAATTTGCGTAGACAATGTCAAATAAATCGTTTAACGAATCATAGAAACTCTTTTCCCGCTATATCTATGTCGGGCTCCGGCGCGTCTCGTTTTTTGGAGAGTTCGTAATTTCTGATAAAATAATTCTAGCTTATTAATACTATCTAAAATTGTTATTATTGAAATACGTGCTTTTTTTCAAAAAATTTCAACCTTTTTCACAACTAAACTAGCATTTGTGCGAAGATTCAATTTCACTTTCCGCAAATTGTAAAAAAGAATGCGCAAAACCTGTCCAGTGCTCGGTAATTTTGCATTATTTGTACTTCCATATATTGGGTAAATATAATTCCGTAGCGAAAATAAAGCAAATTTCAAATACAAAATAATTAGCAAAAAAGCAATTTTAATCAAATATGTTCCATTCTGTTGAATAACTTTCTGCTACCTCTCCACGAGCTTCATTATCCCTTTTTCATAGAAGTCCTGAGATTTTTGGGCAAAGAAGTCATCTAAGTGGTATTTGAGGACGTCCAGGAAACTGAAGGTATTGTTATTCAAATTGTTCTGTAGCGCCCGGAACAAGTAATAGTTTGAAGGTACAAGGTCCAGATTATACGGTGGGTGCACCAAAACATCCCATCCAAGCCGTAGTAACTTTTGCCGGGTCATTAGAGAAACGTGTGTTCTAGCGTTGGCCTGGTGGAACACAACGCCCTTTTTGATCGCCAATTTGGGCCGCTTCTGATTGATTGCTGGCTTTAATTTGAGCAGTACGTAGTCGAATCTATCGTTTTGTTGGATGAAAGCAGCTCATAATAAACGATTTCTTTCTAATCCCGCCAGATACTAAGCATGACCTTCTTCGAGTATAATCCAGCCTTTACGACTGTCTGAGTAACTTCCCCGCGATTCGAACATTATCTTCTATAACTGACATTCATTTCACCTGACATTGGTGTAGACAATCTACTTTTTTATCGCCAGTAATTATCCGCTTTAAAAATGGTCCGTTTTAATTAATTATTGATTCGCGTTTGAGCAGTGAATCGCTAACTAAAATTCCGTCCATTATTTTCTTTTTGCTCAGTTCGCAGGGAACTCAAACATCAAGCTTGTTTATTATCTTAAGCTTCCGTAAATATATCAAAACATCTAATTTGTCAATGTTAAGGTTATGTTCGATCTCTGTAGTCGTCAAATTCCGGTCGGAGGCGATTAAAGCTTAATTTCATCAGCATCAGTAGTGAGTGGCCGACCAGAACGAGGAGCATCTTGGAGATAAATATCTCCGCAACAAAATTTTGCAAACTACTTCCTACACACTCTTTCGCTTACGGCATTTTCTCCATACACGGCGCATATCTTTTTGTAAGTTAACGACACGTTTTTGCCTTTTCGAAAATAAAAAAGCAAAATGCCGAAAATAAATGTTATTTCCTACTATGTTCAAAATATAATTAAACTTCGTATATGTCACGTATCTCGATAAATACTTTCTTAAAATGTTGGTACAAATTTTAGCTTTCACTTAATGTTCGACACTTCATTTAACACATGTGCGAGCAGAAAAACAACTACGATCGACATCTGTAGGAATTTTGCTACGGAATTACGCATTGACCCAATAATTTGTGACGATACACCTATTGCCCCAGAGTCGGACCGATCATCCGTCGAACCGTGCACGTATTGTGCCACATAGAGATTTCCACATGCGAGCGTGTTAAAGCGACAATACGAGCGAGTTAAAGCAACAACAGGAGCGTTGCTGTGACATTCACTTCGCCTAGGA